TCTTAAGGTTTCTTAAGCCTTGGTCACATTACACAACTTTCCGTCTCCAAACTATGTCTCATCTGGAGTGATTAATAACACCATTCACAACAAGCACATTATGTTTAATACAGAAAGAAAACCAGGGTTCCCACTCTTTGTAAGAAATCATTTTCCAGGATCTTTTCCAGTACTGAAATGAATTAAAGGTATACAATGCACACAGATCACTTGCCAAAGTTGTTGGATCGAATTTGACTTGAATTAACTTTGAATAACACACAAATAAAAATAATTAGTTATGTTCAAAATCAAACCTCAATACATCAAAACAGCCACATCCAAAATAATGACATTGGTTCTGACTTCATAGGCTGGTTACTTCAAAATAAAACATTATCAGTGAAGATTAAATGAGTCCTCATGAGTCCACTTAAACACTTCACAGTCTGAACCTGCAGCACTCCACTCAAATATCTGCTGCTGCATGCTCACACATGGCTTTATATGATCACTGTTAACTTCTGAAACACAACTCTGAGAACAAATAAACCTCCTCAACACCGGAGACATCAACACTCAAACACTGCTACTGGCTTTATTTTACAAAATAAGACATGAATTCACCTCCAGGGTTGAAAATGAAGCCAGCAGGAAAGTTTAATATTGTTGATGTTGTTAGAGAAAAAAACAAATCATTAGTGGTTCCATTTAACCTACAGGGGGGCAGACTGTGGCCAGACCGAGCCTTTCAAGCCACTTTCTGACATTAAATATTTAACATCTGTTTCCTGCTCCTGTTGGGAAACCCCTGGCCTGGGACACATTTGGACACACACTTCTGAATGTGGTCTGAGCGATGCATGAATTCAACTGTTCACTCGTGTTTGGATTCACCCATGTTAATGCCCACAGGGTCGGTAATGTGCCCTCGTCCTCTGCACCTCCTGTGGAGTAACCACGAGGCTACAGGAAGTCAGTCAGAGTCTGTATATGACGTCATAATAAATGACATTCACAGTTTTTGGGATAAATGATGAACAATGGTTGGGATCATTTATAGTGCATTTAAAAGCTATTAACAACATTTTATTAAATAAAACAGATTAAAAAAAACAAGTAATACCGCATTCATTCATTATAAGAAAATTATCATAAGTTAGTTTATGAACTAAAAGTTTTCTTTATGCCAGATTTTAGGGGGTGTTGCAGCCCCCTCAGCACTACTTCCACCGCCCACACAAGGCTCCATATTAGGCCCTATTTTATTTTAAATATGTAACCCATAAAGCCACACAGGACACAAAGACTTTAGGGGTTTGTGGCTTTGATTTTAATTTTATTGCTGTCCACGCGTTTACATTACCATACAATTGAGAACACAGTGGCAGTGAACTCCAGTAGTACCTAAATCAAACTATATATATATATATCTCAACAAATAAAGTCTTTTAAGTGTTTTAACAGGACTATGTTTCAAGATGTATGTTTATTGATCTACTGCTTTACACTACAGTGTCACAGCATTCAGCAAACCTCCAGGTTTGTTGGCAGGAAGAAAGATCCATGCTGCACTTATTGGAACAACATCAATACGACTCAATGCTGCCACCTTGTGACAAACGTCCGCAATAGCAAGTGAAACTGTGAGCTTCATCATCAGTTCATATATTAATACAGTCATTTATTACCTCTGACCCTGATTTAAATAAATATATTTAATAAATGAAATATCCTCATTAGTATCCACTGAGCAATCTGTTATAAGACGTTTAATAAAAGCCAGTTATGTCTATTTGTCTGTAAACGTTTGGTTCAGATTGAAGTTACTCGAGGCTGAAAAGTGTTTATTATAAGTCTATTAAACTTTATATAAACTGATTAATTTATGTTGGTTAGACATTGAATAGACAACAAAGACAAAGGCCTATTTATTTGAAAGTACATAAATAATATAAATGACATTATATGAATTTAAAACATTAAGTAACACAAGTAAATAAAGATACTTTATTTTTAGTTATAAAATGTCAAGCCTTAGTTTAAAACAGGATTAAATAATATTGATCAAGTTCTTCTCACACTATTAATTCAAGGATAAACATTTAACAGTCCAAATGGGAACGGTTACATTAATCACCAAATATTTTAATGACTGATTGATCGTTTTGAGTCATTTTTAAAGAACATAAATGTTATTGATTAGCCTACTGATTTCAGCTTCAGGAAATGTGAATATGTTCTGGTTTCCTTCTGCACTGAATGTCTTTGGGTTGTGGACCAGACATTTGAGGTGTGGCCGTTTTCTGGAGAAAACAACTAATCGATTAATCAATAATGTAAATAAGCAGTCCCACTATAAACCATATGGGCCACTTAGCGAGCCGGCGTGTTACTATGGAAACAGTAATGTTACACTCAACCCATAATGACGCCATCCTTAAATGTGGTGCATTATTAAAATACTTCTCTCTGTCTGTCTCTCTCTCTGTCTCTCTCTCTTTCTCTCTGTCT